GAACCTCATAAAAATTAAAAACTTTTGTTCATGAAAAGACTCTACCAAAAAAGTGAAGACAAGCTACCAACTGGGAGAATATCTTCAGAAACCATATATCCGACAAGAATCTAACAACCAACATATGCATAAAACTTCAACAACTCAACAAAAAGAAAAATAACCCAATCAGAAAATGGGCAAAAGACTTGAATAGACATTTCACCAAAGAGGACATTCAAGTGGCCGCCAAACACATGAAAAGATGCTCAGCATCATTAGACATCAGAGAGATGCAAATCAAAACCACAATGAGATACCATTTCAGTCTCTCATTTGGATGGCTAAGATAAAATAAGTAAATAAGTAACAAATGTTGGTGAGGATGTGGGGAAACTGGAACCCTTACCCATCGCTGGTGGGAATGCAAAATGGTACTACTGTTGTAGAAAAGTGTAGGGGTTCCTCAAAAAACTAAAACTAGAACTACCATATGACCCAGCAATTCCACTTCTAGGTATGTACCCAAGAGACTTGAAGGCAGAGATTCAAACAGAGACTTGTACACCAATGTTCACTGCAGCACTATTCACAATGACCAAAAGGTGGAAACAACCTAAATGCTCAGCAACAGAGGAATGGATAAACAAAATGTGGTACATAGATACAATGGGATACTACTCAGCCAGCATGAGAAATGAAGTCTTGATACATGCTATAATATGGATAGAGCTGGAAGACATTATGCTGAATGAAATAAGTCAATCACAAAAGGACAAATATATAACCTCACTTACATAAAAAGACAAGACAAGGAAAATGTATAGAGAATAAAGTTTCTTAGTGGTTACCAGAGGTGAGAGGGAGGGGAAAAGCGGCAGTTTAAAGGTGATGAAAAAATTACATGGATTAAGGGTAGGGTTAAGGTGATGGAAAAATTACATTGATTAAGGGTAGGGTTACACAGCCGATTATTTTAATTGTCAGTAAGTTGTATACCTGTAAAAAGTTGAACCAGCAAAAGTTGTGTGATAGATACATTTAAAATGGCAAAAAAAAAAAAAAAAAAAGAAATTCAGTTAAAAAAAAACAGAGTGAGTAGCTGCTGATGCTGCTTATGTACAACCAAACACCTCATGGGATATGGTTCCTTGGTTTGGAAGTTTAGGGCCATGGTTTCATGAGACACCCCCGTTAACTGGCCTAATAAGATGTTTACTGCTTCTGTTCTAACTTCTAGTTCACTATGTAGTACCTGGGGTCTTAAAAGCTTGCAAGCAGAAGTCCAAGGCACAACAATTGGTCTCTATTCACCAGGAGCAACAGAAAAAGAAGGAGAGTCAGGAATAGGAGGAGGAGATGGAATGTGTGTCTAATTGTCTCCATGAACAACTAACTGCCTCCTTTGCCATAAGACCAGAACTGGATGGTGCCAGATACCATTATTGAACATTCTGATCAAACATTCTATAGAAGAATCCTGATCAAAAGGGGGAAAATGCAGAACAGAATTTCAAATTCTCATGAACTCCAGACTTCCTGAAGCCATGAAGGTTGGAGGAACTCCTGAAACTACTGCCCTGAGACAACCTTTATACCTTAAATCAAAAATATCCCCTGAAGTTTTCTTAAAAGCAAACAATACAGTTTAGCTTAACTAGTGAAAAAGGTCTGCCTTGAGCATTATTCTCTTTTAAGATCTATCTATATGAGATCAAATTGATAACAGCAACTCAGAAGATTAGATAGGAACCTAGGAGCAGTGAATTTATGTTATGGGTGAGGAACAACTCAGAAAAAGAAGAGTGAGAATGGCTGCACAACTCAAAGAGTGTAATTAATGTCATTAAATGGGACATTTAGAAACTGTTGAATTGGTGTTTATGTTTTGCTGTGCATATTCTCAACAATAACAATAAATAAAATTTTTTAAAAAAGTGGGAGCATTTGGACAAGCTACCATGTCTAAGACTCAGTTTCTTCATGTATAAAATGAGTATAATAATAATTATCCTTATCTCAAAGACTGTTTTATGGATTAAGTGAGATAATATATAATTTTATTGAAAAAAATGCTATTTTCTTTCACATCTGATATTCGCTTTCCAAACAAAGTAGGCTAACTTTTTCATCCAACTCAGATATGAGATCACCTAAAAATTCTCATCAAAGTAATAATTCTCAGGAATTCACAAAATAAAAGTTACATTATATTAAAAAGTGTATCACCTTTCAGATGAACTTTAATTATTTTCTATCAATATTTTATGAACTTGCATTTACAATCTGGGTTTTTCCCCTTACTTTCTGTACTATGTCACAATTTAAATGTGGTTAATCCAGCAACAATAGTCTTAAATTCTCGCTCAAACTTTGGTTAGGACTACCAATTTTGTGAGGACTATTAAGGAATTTTTTCAGATGGGATACTTGTGCTATCTGTAACTATATTCAAATATTATCGAAAGACTTCTCTCCGGTATCTGGAAGGCCCTTTTAATCTCGATGTCGGCTGACTCACTGTGAAATGCAGTCAGAGATGGCAATAGCACCAGCTGCCTGAAGTCCTGAACTGTGCGCTCTGCTCTGCTTCTGCCTTGCTTTCTGACCAGATCCTTCAAGCCCTTCATCTCTCTGTGCCTGAGTTTCCTCATCTGCAACACTGGAATAATTACATATGTCACCTACTTACTGTACTGTAAAGGCGCTACAAAATTTTGGATAGTATAATATTTATCTAACTGATAAGGCTATTTTATAAATTACTAGTGTTGAAGGCTTTTGCTACTTGTAGAAAGCTGTTTCATAAATTTTCTGAAGTTTTGTACAAAAACCTTAATATAATGACCTACGAAGGAAGACCAAAGAAGCACTGACGCCTTTGAATTGTAGTGTTGGTGAAGAATACTGAATATACCATGGACTGCCAAAAGAACTTACAAATCTGTCTTGGAAAAAGTACAACCAGAATGCTCCTTAGAAGCAAGGACGGCAAGACTACATCTCACATACTTTGGACATATTATCAGGAGGGATCAGTTCCTGGAGAAGGATGTCATGCTTGGTGAAGTAGAGGGTCAGCAAAGAAGAAGACGACTTTGAAACAAGATGGACTGACACAGTGGCTGCAACAATGGGCTCAGACATAGCAACGACTGTGAGGATGGTGCAGGACTGGGCAGTGTTTCGTTCTGTTGTACATACGGTCACTATGAGTTGGAACTGACTCCATGGCACCTAACAACAACAACAACAGGTTATCTTAATTAATTATCCAGAAACTCTTTAAAAGGGTTGGGAAAGGCGACCCTTTCTCTAGATCATTTCTTCCTTTCCAGTCTTCTTCCGGGCAATATGTTCCTTAAAACTACAAATTTATGGATAAGGAATTAGAATCCCATGATACATTTATACGACTTCATATGTTTTTGTCATCTCATCTTAAGACTTAGAGGAGAAATAATTCTTACAAAATATAAACCTGAAAATTAAACTTTGATTAGGTTTTCAGTTTTCATCAGTTTTAATATACATGACATAGATTATCGTTCATTTTTGTACAATCGTGCATATATCTTTTTGTAGTCTATTATTCATATAGTCTAAGTTTTTGTTTTCTACATCAGTGCCTATGATTTTTTGGAAAATAAGTAAAATGTGCTATAAATTAAATTTCTATATCACCAATAATATAAACAAAATTAAATTCAAAGGGCTCCTTTCCTCTAGTGCTTAAATATTATGCATTTAAAGAAACAAAAATCAACTCAATTCAACATACTTAGATCCTACTAAGTACTGTGCATTGTACTGGAACTTAGAATATAAAAAGACAGCATTGTCCTCAGGGAGCTTATAGTCTACTGTAGGACAGTACTGCTGAAAATCTTACATTGTTCATTATTAAGTACTTGGAAAGTACATTAACTCTTCTACTGGAATCACATTAATAAAGCACTACAGCAAATTTAAGACACATACATATGTACAGGAGAGACTAGAGCTCAACACATTTTATTTTATTATAACTTTGTAATTAAAAAATAAAGAGAAAATTTCCATTCTTCAAATACTGGTCTTGGGTTAGGAATGAGTCAGCCATCATCTTTTCCTTTTTAATCAAAAGTTTTTATTTGCAAGATGGACAGGTAAGCTAAGGGCGCAGACTGGTCTCTTTATGTGGTAGCAATGGGTACTCAAAAAAATTGAGAGTTATTGGCAGCAATCTTTAACTGGCTTGGGGAAGACAACACCCTGTCAAAGGTACTATGATTTCTTTTTCTGACAAACAAGCCAAAACCAAGACAAACAGAAAATGAAGAAGAAACATCCTGTAAGTAATAAATGTTTCATAGGATTAAGTATAATACAGAGACAAAAAAAAAGTTGGGAAATACTTTCCAAAGGCAGAATTAAAAAACAAAATGGCGCTCACATTCTCCAATCTACTAAGTAGACTAATTACAGAGAATTATGGAGGAACACTTAATTTTACTGAAAAATTCATTTGTAAAGTCTTTTAAAAATCACATCAATATCAGACAGTTGATGCTGACAAAAAATACGACATACTGAGTCCTACTGTTATATAAACTGGTCACAGATAAAAGAATTGTAGTTAAACCAATCAACAACAGTCACTAAAATGGTCCCAATTCAATCACACCAAAGAATTAAAATACATGGAATTTGACTAGTTATACTTATGAAAAAAAAAAAAAAAATGTAACTGAAGGAATACAAAGAATTTTACAGATCAGATGAAAAAAGGTGCTTCTAAAATATAAAACAAAATTTTGCTAGAACTCTTCCAAATTTCCGGATTGACTGTTTTAAGATGGCTACCTATGAACAAGGAGTACTTCTCTAGTCTTTATAAAGTATTTGTTTCTTTGTAAAGAGTCATATACGCTATTTTTAAAGCACTACAGTGAAAATATCTAAATTCTCATATACTTTTGCTCACTAAGTTTTTATTTTGAATTCAACTGTACTTTAATAACTAATCTCATACAACTCACCACTTTTGCATCAATTGCGACCTGAGCGAAGCCTTTACGATTACCCCATATAATGCTGTAGGTTTCATCACTAATTAGGGCTTCTCGAACTCCACCCGGTGAAATAGCTAACAAGTGACCACTCCTCAGAATTTCAACACACTTTTCTCTTGGTCCATGTAGAGCACAAAATACATCAAGTAATAAACTAAACCCTGTAAGAAAATTAGCATTAAATACATCTTTAGTATTTATTCTTCAATTCTTCAAGAGCAAAAAATCATCACAACCTACAAAGTGCACTATCTATACTTAAATCAGTAAATTCTTATTTTTTTTAAGTCAGCAAAATCTCTTAAGATTAACATAGACTAATATTGCTGGTGAAGTAACAGCTACTTCTTACTGATCACCTCCTTACTGATCACCAACTATTCTTGCTACTTTATATATTCAAACTCTGTAATTCTCACAACAATCTTGGAAAACAGGGATTCTTACACCCATTTTACAGATGAGGAAACTTGGGTTTACAGAGGTAAGGAGCTTGCTCAAAGTCACATACTTAGTTAAGTGGCAGAGCAGAAATTCCAATCTAGGTATGTCTAGTCAGTAGTTCCTTCCACTGCATCTCACAGTTAAACACTGTCTAAAGTACTTATTAGAGCAATCATGATATCCCATCAGCAATCACAAATCTAATCTTCCATTAACCCTACAAGAAAGAAAACCACTCAAATGAATGTGAATCTGACTATGCCTGGCCCTACCAAAACTGGCAAGACCATCATCATACCCATTAAAATTAAAAGTTAAATGATGTAAATTCTACAATTAAATTTTTCATTAAGAGTTTTTGTTAAAGTGAGGGTGTTTGACTCAGAAACAGCTAATTCTATAGCTTTTCAAACCACAACTATTTATGGATGAAAGAAACAATCCTGTCAGTGATTAAGTATCTGAATCAAATTCTAAACTGGAACTTCATAAGACCGATGTTAGTATGTATCTGAAACTAGGAAATATGGGAATGTATGGTGAAAACTGCAGACTAACCAAACTTATCATAGGTCTAAAGATCTCTGCCTACCTGAACCAAGAGTATTTTCAGGAAGTGATGAAGGACTTAAGGTAAACTGATGTTAAAATATTAAATGAACCATAAAGAGGAAAAAAAATTTGGAAAGATATTCACATCCTATTATTTACAAGGAAAAAAAATGAAAACAACTAATGTTCCATAAGAGAAAACTAGTTAAGTAAATATTTTAGCCACTCATTAAAACTGTTCCCTGTAGAACGTGGTAAAATGTTAATGCTACCATTAAATTTTCAAAAAATATATTTTGCGTAATACGTGGAAAATATGCAAATGAAAAATAAAAATAAATCACAATAACTGGTTATGTTAGGATGGCGAGACTATAATGATTTTTCTCTAGTTTCTAAATTTGTTGTAAAGTGATTACATTACTTTTTAAAGGAAAACATTATAGCCTATTTAGTTTATACACAAAGTACGAACGGCCTTTTAGTGACACAATGATACCCAAAGCATTAACCAAGCTTATGAAAGACACTGAAGTAGATCGCTGTTTAATTCACTGCTCAATTTCTGTCTGGTTGATTGGTTGGCCTTCGCACTTTTAATTCCAGAGGGCACACTATACACTTTCTTGGCTTGTTTCTAGTGATTTAGCAGTAGAAAGAAACAAGATTTAGTCTCAATGAGTTTAAGAGCAATTTTTTAAAAAAGGTACAAAGCCTTTATGAACAGAAGAAAAAGTATGCAGTCCTCAGCCTTAGAGTAGTAAGTCTACCAGGCCAGTCAGGTATGATGATGGACACAGCGTACTCTTTAGAATTGTTTTTCTCAGGCAATATATTATTACATGAAGACAAAATACATCCTGGCTAATTTTTTTTTAAACTAATTTTGATTTACTATCAAACCAAGAAGGAGCCATGATGGTTCAGTGTTTAAAGCCCTCAGCTGCTAACCAGCAGGTTGGCAGTTCGAACCCACCAGTCCGCCCCATGGGAGAAAGATGTGGCAAGTCTGCTTCCATAAAGATTTATGGCCTTGGAAACCCTATGGAGCAGTTCTACTCTGTCCTATAGGGTCACTATGAGTCAGAATTGACTCAATGGCAATGGGTTTGAGTTTGGTATCAAACCAAGAGTAATCAAAATCTAATTACAGCAAAATTAAACTCCAAAAATCAATACCTCATGGAAAAATTTATCATATGAAGGCTCAGCTACCTTCTATATCAAAATATAACTTAATTTGTTTTATAAAGGTTATGGTTTATTTTTTAAAAGTTAAAGCTCAGGGTTTAACTTGAAAAATGACTAAATACCTGTTAATAAAGAAATAAATTAGATAAACTTTGCCATAATGTTTTTATATTTAGATTTATAACCTAAGCAAGCTAATCGGATATTCTCAAACTGAGGTTCCAAGTGCATTACCATAAAAAGGCAGAAAGTTTTTCCAAACGATATAGAGCTCTCAAAGATGGAGACTACCATACAATAGAATCATGTTAATTGAACACTTTTATACCACTATCTATAGTGAAAGTTTACCTGGGATTTTAAAGACAAAGTGATCAGCTACTACTCGGCAAGTTCTGCCTTTATGGATAAAAATTTTAGCCATGAAGTAGTAAAAGTCTATTGGAATAGCTCCATGATAAAAAATTATAAGTGCTGGTCCTTCTTCTGGTATTTTTTCCATCCCATGAACTTCATAACCTGTTAGAAAGACAAAATACAGACAGATACTTAATATATACTTATTAGGTTTTTTTGTACTAAAACCAAATCCATTACCGTTGAGTTGATTCCAACTCATAGCGACCCTACAGGACAGAGGAGAACTGCCTCATAGGGTTTCCAAGGAGCAGCTCGTGGATTTGAACTGCCAACCTGCTGGTTAGCAGCTGTAGCTCTTAACCACTGTGCCACCAGGGTTCCTTGTACTAAAAGATGGTTAGTAAATACAGAAACTCAGTCTTTTCTTACAAACGTGCATGACCCTTCCTACTTCTCTTCCTCTATCCCCTTCTCTTCCTTTCTCTTCCCGTCCCCTCTGGAGCAAGTCAGTTCTGGAGCCATGAGTTGGGTCAGAGGGAAGTAGGCATCTGTGAAGGACTGACCCAGAGCAAGGAGTCAAAGCCTGAGTGGTCATGAACATCCACACAGGAGAAGAGGACGCCAGGGCCTGAGTGGAGAAAGAGTGTCTGGGGGGTGGTAAGCATGGAAGCTCTGAGTGAAGTAAGAAGAGCATCCACACATACATGTGGTCGGGCACAGGTGTCAGAGTCTGAATGGGTGAGAGTGTCCTCAGGGAGTATGGCCTAATGGAGGGTGTCACAGCCTGAACAGCGTGAGAAGGCATCCACGCAGGGTGGTGGTCTGGGGTGGGGAGTTAGTGCCCCAGTGGAGTGAGGAGGCTCACGGGAAAGGGGGCTCACCAGCACAAGGTGTCAGAGCCTGAGTGGGGTGCGAGGGTATCCACAAGTGGTAGGGGGCAGTGTCAGTGATGGGAGATTGGTTACATACAGGGGTATTGAGCAAATCAGTCTACATATCAAGGATAACGTGAACCAGGTATCTCACTGTTGGAGAAAGGGTCACAAATACAGAAAAGGGGAAAACTAGAATAAATACTATAGGCCCAAGAGAACGTTGCTCCCACCCTAACAAGAAACGGCTGGGTAGTCTACAAAAACGTAATTTCTCTGGAGCATTTCAGAGATGAGATTAGAAGGCAACCAGGCAAGCTGAGCTCCCAAGTGTGACAAGCCCCTCCAAGGAGAGACAAAAAACAGTATGGGAGGAAGAGGCAGCTCTCATAAAAACGGTAAGAAAAAAACAACTGAAATGCTAGCACATTCTTGAAAGCCAAGAACGGGCTAGTGTTTGAGTGTAGAATCCCTATGAGTCCCACACATAAACAAAGAGAGTCATACTCACTCACTAACTGTCTCCACAGGTCTTCAGTGGGTGCTTGTCACAAAAATTAGAGGCTGGGCCAGAAACCCAAGGGTGCCTCTCCTAGCCATGTACAGGCACAAAATATGACCTGCTTCCTGGAAGCTTCTCTCAGAAAAGCAAAAATTATGACACTGGGAGAGGTGCAGGAAGCCCTCCTACCCCCTCTAAGAAAGGGGTATGTGCAAAGGATATCTGATGCTAGGAGGGGCAGAAAACATCCTCCCCACCCCCCAGTCTCAAGTCCACTATTGCTGGGGAAGGGGCAGAAGCAAAGGTGTCTGCTCCTGGGAGGCAAGAGATGGCCAGCAGGAAATTTGCTTAAGCCCAGGATCCTGGAATGATATAACCACTGCGGAGAGGGGCAGGAAATTTGCTCCTACTCAAACGCCTACCTATACGAGGCAAAGTTTGATTGTCAAAGGGAAGAGGGAAAGGAACACCAAGAAAGACAATCCTGAGCCCGAGGCACACAGGGCCTGCCTAAGACATCGGCAGAACCAGGAAAGCCAAGAACTGCCCCTCCTGTGGACCCACCAAAAGCCTCACATGGAGTCACAAGCAAAGGCAATCTTCTGCTGAGGATAGGCAGGAGCACAGGCATACAGGATAGAGCAGGAACATCAGGATAGGCAGGAGCACAGGCATACAGGATAGAGCAGGAACATCAAGAAAAACCCTCCAGCACTCCAGGCCCTATACTATGCACAAAGCAGCAGGAGGAATTTGATGTCTGTGCTGAACTGAAGGTAACTATAGCAGTAACAAAATCCAAACCCAGTTCAACTACTGGCCAGATTGAATCAACTGACACTCCATTCACTAATGGCCTGACATAAAGAGTGCCAATTTCCAGGCATAAACACCATTTACCTGTCTCTACCATTCTTTTACAAAGAATGTCAAAATTCAATAAAAAGTAATGAGACACACAAAAGAACAGGAAAAAAATAATCTACTCTCAGGATAAAACAATCAGCTGAACCAGATCCATATGTTGAAACTATCAGACAGTAAAATAACTATGATAAAGACATGTTAAAGGATCTAGTAGAAAAGGTAGACAACACACATAATCAAATTAGGAACTTCAGCAGAGATGGGAACTGTAAGAAGGCAGTCAAATGGAAAGGCTATCAATTTGAATGAGATCTAAAGATTAGATGTTAGTAATATAACAATGTTAATTTCCTCATTTTATGGTTTTATTGAGGTTAAGAGAACATCCTTGTTTGTAGGAAATACACATTAGAGTAATGAAGATACAAGGAGCCCTGGTAGTGCAGTGGTTAAGTGCTTGACTGCTTACTGAAAGGTTCCGCGGAAAAAAGATGTGGCAGTCTGCTTCCATAAAGATTATAGCCTTGGAAACTGTTTGGGGCAGTTCTACTCTGTCCTACAGAGTCACTATGGGTTGGAATCAACTTGCTGGCAATGGGTTTGGTTTGGTTTAATGTAGACACTTGAAGTTAAATGATTTAGGAAAAAAAGGTTATTTGTACAATACTTGGAAAACTAATTTTTTGAAAGTTCCTGAATAAAAACAACATATTGGCTTCCATGGAAAAATCACATAAGATCAGGATCTAGAAGGTAAAAAAATACCTTCAAATTCTAACCTAACAGACAATATAAGAACTTACAACTATTTTCAACTGTTAATCATGATTATTCAAGGACTCATACATCTCTGAACCATCAAACACTTTCTTCAATCTGCTAGTCTTCTTAAAAATAATCCAGACATTTAGCACCATAGGAATACATGATACTACTAATTATAAGCAGGTTGTGAAGAGCTAAGGAAATGAGAAGGGGACTGAGTGAAAAAAACCACGGCAAGAGCCATCAATTAAATTACAACTTTCCTATAACACAATCTCCACCACTCGTCTGTCAGACTGTCATACTGTCGTGGCTTGCTTGTTGCTGCGATGCTGACATCTATGCCACACTATACCAGCAGCATCACCCATGGTGGACAGGTTTCAGCTGAGCTTCCAGACTAACACAGTCCAGGAAGAAGGACCTGAAGATCTACTTCTAAAAAAATTGGCCAGTGAAAATCTTATGAACAGCTGCCAAACTTTGCCTGATATAGTGCTGGCAGATCAGTCCCTGAGGTTGGAAGGCACTCAAAATACAACTGGAGAGGAGCTGCCTCCTCAAAGCTGAGTCAACCTTACTGAAGTGGATGGAGTAAAGCTTTCGGGACCTTTATTTGCTGATGTGGGACAACTCAAAATGAGAAGAAACAGCCGTAAACATCCATTAGTAATCGGAACATGGAATGTACGAAGTATGAATCCAGGAAAACTGAAGTCGTCAAAAATGAAATGGAACGCTTGAAGATAGATATCCTAGGCATTAGTGAGCTGAAAGGGACTGGTGTTGGCCATTCTGAATCAGACAATCATATGGTATACAATGCCGGGAATGACAAATTGAAGAGGAATGGCGTCACATTGTCAAAAAGAACATTTCAAGATCTATCCTGAAGTACAATGATGTCAGTGATAGGATAATATTCATAGGCCTACAAGATGACCAGTTAATATGAATATTATTCAAACTTATGAACCAACCATGAATGCCAAAGATGAAGCAATTCAAGATTTTTACCAACTTCAGAAGAGTGAAATTGCTCAAACATGCAATCAAGATGCACTGATAATTACTGGTGATTGGAATGCGAAAGTTGGAAACAAATTAGAAGGATCAGTAGTTGGAAAGCATGGCCTCAGTGATAGAAATCAAGGCAGAGATCGCATGATAGAATTTTGCAACACCAATGACCTAGTCATTGGAAATACCTTCTCTCAACAACAAAAAGGGCAACTATACACGTGTCACCAGATGGAATATACAGGAATCAAATCGACTACATCTGTGGAAACAGACAATGGAGAAGCTCAATATCATCAGTCAGAACAAGGCCAGGGGCCGACTGAGGGACAGACTATCAATTGCTCACATGCAAGTTCAAGTTGAAGCTGAAGAAAATTTAAACGAGTCCACGGGAACCAAAGTACGACCTTGAGTATATCCCACACACATTTAGAGACCATCTCAAGAATAGACTTGATGCACTGAACACTCATGACCGAAGACCAGACAAGTTGTGGGATGACAACAAGGACATCATACATGAAGAAATCAAAAGGTCATTAAAAAGATGGAAAAGAAAAAAAAAAACCAAAATGGATGTCAGAAGAGACTCTGACACTTGCTCTTGAATGTAGAGCAGCTAAAGCGAAGGGAAGAAATTACATACTAAAAGAGATGAACAGGAAATTTTAAAGGGCGGCTCAAGGAGACAAAGTTATTACAACAAACTGTGCAAAGACCTGGAGTTGAAAACCAAAAGGGGAGAACACGCTCAGCATTTCTCAAGCTGAAAGAACTGAAGAGAAAATTCAAGCCTCAAGTTGCAATATTGAAGGATTCTACACGGCACAGTGGTTAAGAGCTCAGCTGTTACCTGAAAGGTTGGCAGTTTGAATCCACCAGCTGCTCCTTGGAAACCCTATAAGGCAGTTCTACTCTGGCCTCAAGGGTCGCTACTAGTCAGAATTGACTTGACAGCAACGGTTTTTATGGGCAAAATATTGAATGACACAGGAAGCATCAAAATAAGATGGAAGGTCACTAGCTAGGAGACAAGTCTTAACTCTGGTGAACAGAAAGACAACACACAATATAAGGGAAGTCAGCACAACTTGACCAAGGCAAAGTCATAGAAGCTTCCTGGACACATC